ATGTACAAATGCGCTTTACACAATTGATGTGTATATGGATTGGGATGACAGTTGTATAAGCCCCTAATAAAATGTTAAAAAAAAAAGAAATATTCCAAAAAAACAAACAAACGCACTGCCATTGAGTTGATTACAATTTATGGTGATGCCCCTGTAGGTTTATGGGATTGTAAGTGTTTGTGGGAGTAGAAAGCCCCATCTTTCTTTCTTCCTTGAGAGGCTGATGGTTTCAAACTGTGGACATACATATCTCAGCCCCACACAAAACCACTATGCCACTAGCCTCGTTATAAAAATATTAATGCAGCAAAATAGTCTCATGTGAGCCCCACTTTTCTCCAAGCCATCAGATGAATGTCCAAAGGTTTATTCCAGTGAATGCTCACAAATGTACATTTATGCAACAAGTTTAACTTAGAATGACCTGGATAACATTGTTGATATTTTTCGGTACCCTTGAGTTGGCTTCAACTCCCAGAGATCCCATGAACAACTGCATGAAATATTTCCAGGAAGTGAACTATCCTCACAGTCATTCCCGTTTGGACTCATCATTGCAGCCTTTGTGACAATCCATCTCCTTGAAAGTCTCTCTTTTTCAATGGTATTCAAATTTACCGACCCCAAGACTATTCTTTGGGTTCTGGTTCCTCATGATGACATGCCCAAATAATAAGATAAAATCTTACTTGAATGCTTCCAAGAACCATTCCAGATGTGTTTATTCTGAAAGAGACCCCCTTGTCCTGCAGGCAGCCCATTTTATATTCAATAATATTTAATATTATTCTCTAACACCATAACTCAAATGCAGCTTTGTTTCTTTGGTATTTCTCTTTTTTTTCTTCTTCTTTGCATGTGGGTTGGATTTTTTTAATTTTATTTTTATCATTTTGGAGCTCATATGGCTCTTATCACAATCCATCCATCGATTGTGTCAAGCACATTTGTACATATGTTGCCATCATCATTTTAAAAGAATTTTATTTCTACTTGAGCCCTTGGTATCAGCTCCTCATTAAAAATTATTTCTTATATGATATTTGGCCTTTATTAGATTCACTCAGTTATCACAACTACGGCAGCTGTTTCTGGCATTACAGATAGTGTCCAGGGTTGCTACTAAAATCACACTATGTATAAGACAGCATCCTACAATAAATACTCAAGGAGCAAAAAATAGCAGTAGTGCCAATATTGAAGAAATCTATATAATTTCTTAACACCCGTCAACATGAAGAGAAATGTCCATCTGAAGAAAGGTCATGATGTATGTAAGTTATACTTAGGGGAACCTAGACCACAAATCTATGTGGCACAATGATTAAATAATTAACTTTTAGCCAAAAGGCTGGCAGTCCCAAACCACTTAGTGATGACTCATTTGGATAAAGATCTGATTACTTTCTCCCATCAGTATTAAAGAAAAGAAAATCCTATTCAGCTAGTTCTACTCTTTCATGCACTCTCTATGAGTCTCTGCACCCAAACAACCTTGGATGCTTAAAGTTCTTTAAATATGTAGACAAGACATTTGCTCCAAATAATTAGCCAAGGTACAGTGAACTTCAACATAAGAGCAATTATAAAGACCATGTATTCTGTTACATATTTCCCTTGGACAGATGTACTTTTTCTGCATAAAACACATAACTTTTCCCCAGCACTGTCATTCAACCCAGGAAGAATGGTGTGTGTTTTATTTTATTTTTGATTATGCAAAGTGCCAGAGTCAGTTCCAGTTCTAAGTGATTCAATGTACAACAGAACTAAATAATGCCTAGTTCAGAACCATAATCAAAATGAATATTTTTGAGCTCATTGTTATAGCTACTGTGTCAATCCATCTCATGATGTGCCTGTTCTTCACTGATCTGCTACTTTATCGTGGTTGATGTGTTTCTAAAGGGACTGGTATCATAACTTTACACGAAACAAAGTTTCATCATCCTTGATTCTAAGGAACTTGCTGGCTTTATTCCATTCAAAACACATCTGTTTGTTTATTGCCAACCCATCCCACAGAACTTTTATCATTCTTTTTCCAACACCATAAGTCAAAGGTCATCATTTTCCCCATGGCCTTCCTTATTCATAGTCCAGAGTTCATATGCATATGGCAATATTGAAAATATTATGACTTGGCTTCTGAAAGTGACATTTAAGAAACCCTGTAATATGGGCCTGTCGGTGCAGAGATGCAAAGGGCTATGATGGTGCTGTGGGATAAGATTTGGTGTGTCACCACAAACAAGATCAGGGATTCAAACCAGTCAATGGTTCCTCCTGAGTAAGATGGCACTGTCTATTCCTGTAAATGATTACAGTCAGAAGAAGCCTAACAAGCAGTTCTAATCAGTCTGGTAGGGTTCCTGTGAGTCAGAGTAGATCTAGTTTTGGAAGAAGAGATTGTTCATTTTCTAGCTTGGTTGCTTGATTTTCTGATTTTCCCTCAGTCAGAAGAATTTCTGGTGTGTTCATAGCTCTCAGACCTCATAAAGAAAAATTAATTCGTGAATTAGTGGATGCATATGTTCAAATCTAACAATACTGCTACACTGGAACTCTGATTTTGTAATTTCAAATATTGGAATCTAGGGAGCCTACTAATTCAAGGTATGCCTGTGGGTCACATCACTCCTATCTCTGTCATCCAACTTGATTCAAGAACCAGCTCTGGAGACACATTATTGTGGAGCTGTGGTGCCTGTGCGTTAGCATGCTGTTCGTAGTCCCCACCTCTTGTAACAGTCAGGAACACTCATAGGCAAAAGCCTCTTGTGGTTTCTTACTTAAATGAGACCACCACTATCACCACCCTGCAATCAGGGGATTCCAGAGCCTTCTGAGTCAGGGAGGCTTCAATACAGAAATGTCTGTCTCCTTTCTCTTTATCCTCCTGATGGTGCTGTGTCTCCCATCAGGTCACTGGCAGGGAGATACAGTAGATCCCAGAATATTCAAAGACATATGGGGCCTTTAATGCTTGTTTCCTAAGGCTCCAGGGGCCCCATCCCACATGCAGCTATAGGAGTCAGGCGATCAGGTGGTGAAGCCTTCTCAGACCCTCACTCTCACCTGTACTATCACTAGGGTCT